GAAGTGAGGAGCCTCTAGCAGTACGTCTGCATCCTTGCTCTTTGGGTGCAAATTGGAAATGTAATAATGATAGGATATTTATGCATATTGGAAAAAGCTTTAACAAGTCCAGGGATTATAGAAGACTGGTCAGAGCAACTGAAATGTATTGTGCTAAGTGTTGTGATTTTAGTGTGTGTTTTGAACAATTTAGTAAGTGTTTGAATACACATCACATAGATAGAAACAATGATCAATTTCTGTTTCTTTTAATGAAATACTGTGGCATCTCTCCCATCCAATACTTCAGGAGTTTCCTTTTCCTGCTGGAGGTTGTCTTGTTCCTTAAACAGCATTTACTTAAGCATAAAAAATTCTTTCATGTTTCTGTAGACTTTGCTTGGAAAGCAGTAGTAAAACCTCAGTGCAAGCCACAAAATTGTTGTGGTAGTGAACTGTAATATGATGCTCACACATTTTCTGGTATTTGATTCCTGTAAGCTTTAATAAAACACTAGTAATGTAGATCAATCCATGTTAGTGACAGCACATGGGGCACAGAAAGTGCACAGTGTGTGGAGTCCTGACAACATTAGCATTTACTTGAAACTGTACTGGCCTTGTAAAATGTTTCTGGTGGCTTCATTTGAGAGATGCTGTGCCAGGCCAGGTCCATCTTGAAGGTCATTAGGGCAGTAGTTTTCATCCCATTCTGCTTCCTCTGAGCTATGGAAGAGAAATGAGCACAGAGCAGAGAGACTTGCCTGTAACCAAGATGCAAGTCAGTGACAACAGGTCAGTGTTGGTGGTGGGAGGAATGCAGTGAATCACCACTCCTGCTAGCTTATCCTCAACATCCTTCATGACTGGAGGGGAGCAGATGGCATTGCTGCACAAACACTGCCCCATTTCCAGAGCCAGGCAGCTGAAGCAGAGTGAGGCAACGTTTGGCTAATGTTGCTGCATGTACGCACACCAGCAGTACAGGCAAGCTCCCAGCACAACCATTTCAAAGGCAGGTAGGTATTGCTTCTGCAGCCTTTATTTTGAGCTGTGTCTGTGCTAGCATAAGAGAAAGACTTATTTCTCTGTTAGAACAGCCCAGCTAGGATGCCAGGAGTTATTATCACCAGGGTATCTATCATTATTTTCATATCAGTGTTGCTAAAGGCAACACAGGACAAATTGCCTGTGGTTTGAACTCTTACCATTGTTGAGCAGACCCAGGGTCATCTTTGCCATTCTCTGCAGTCTCCTGGGACACTCTGCAATAGGAAGAGATTTGGTCTCTGGAATTCCCATAAAAGAGATTTGGTGACACCTCTTCATCAATGCCAGCAGTCTCATGCTGCAGTGATTTACTGCTTTTAAATCTTCAGATGATTTTAAGCTGAGATTGGATGTATTTATTAGCAAAATTATATAAACGGTAGTGGAAAAATTCATGGCATCTCTACTATGACTTGAATTACTGCTGAGATTGCTTCTATGTGGACTGATTCCTAGAGGATCTATAAATAGTGCAGCTCTCAATGGGATAGAGATTTAGAGTCCCTAGGATTTGATTGGTGTTGTCTGGAAGACACTGGGCTGTAACATTTCTGTTGGAGAGGAGATCTCTGGTACCTGTGTTGGCCATAGCACTAGAAGGTGTGACATGTAGTAGACCCCTGAGTAGCTGCAAGAAGCATTCACTAAGAGGAAAACCCAGATTATTCCAGACCAGTACCATCCACTTAAATGCACTTGAGCCTCCGCTGTGCAGCCTCCCCTCCAGAACTGGTGCTGCAGCATCAACATCGCACCAGAGATGCACTGACTTGGGAGATAAGTTTGCTTCCTGTGCTGGTTCTGACACAGATTGTGAAAGTTCATTCAAGTCCTGCTGCTCTCATTCAGGTTGGGAAATTCACATAAACTTGTAACAAATGCAAGTATGCACAAAACCAGCTGTTGGACAGTAAGATTTTTGTTGGATGCTGTGCTAAGTGTGGATCAGCAGAAAGCAAATAGATTTGTCCTTTGTTGCAATTACATGTAAATGAAGGTTGTGCTTTAAATCATATGCAAGATAGAACAGCTAAAAATAATTAGTCTTTCACGTATACAATCCAGTCTTTAGGCATTATTTGGGATATAAAAACATTGTATAACAACCCCCTGTCCCACTCCTGTTATGTTTGACAGACTTAGTCTTTGTGTAGCAATTATCTGAGTGAAAACAAGTTATGCATCTGGGAGATAAGGGGCTGTGGTAATGTGCTACTGGATGACTTTGCCTTTGATATATAACTTTAACATTAATTTCAAACATGACTAGATGAAAATAGGTTTGCACTGTTTTTTCTAGGTTTTTCTCTGCATTTACCATAAATCCAAAGATGGTTCTCTAAGACATACACTCTGCTTTGTAATCAAATGCCACCTCTGGGGAAACTTCAGTATTCTCCTTATGCTACAGCTTTATGTAAAGTGACCTGAAGGCTGTGGCAAGGAAATACTGCACTCTGACACCACCAGCCAGGGCTTTTGATGCTAAGAGAAATTAATTCTTAAGGTATGCTTTAGCAGCTGCCTTGAAACAGAAGAATCTGTCAACAGAATACTGTGTGAGAAGCTTTAGCCATGGAGGGGTGGAGAGAAGAAAAAACATGTCCACCCAATTTTTATGAAGGTGGAATAAATGTCAACCAGCACTATACAGAGGCAGGAGCTGAATCAGAGCAAGTCTTTCCTGTTGTCACCCAGAAGGCAGTGACAGATCAGCTTCATTTTCCCATTCCATGTTAGCCGTGCTGAACCTATCCTTGGTTTGTTTTAAAGCTATTTAGTTACATCATCAGGGAAACCAGAATATTATTGAGCTCCAACTAAGTAATTTTTCTTTGTCAGAAAAATGAAAGAAATTGCTGAAAATGGCTCCACTGGTGTTAGAGTTGGAAGAAAAGAAAGCTAACATTTGAATGAATCCTCATCCCTGATATATTTAAATTGAGCTCCACGTAACTTAAAAACTGTTATCAAAAATGCTGCATACTGCAGACATTCAGCACTTGTGAGGGAAAAAGTACAGACACAAGAAAATTCAAATTGGGCACCTGCAGTCAGCAATCACTTAAAACAATTTTCACTCTCGTTGCTGCTCTCCTCCTTATCCTTGCTGCTTTTCCTTACGTAGTACAGCTCTGTTCTGAACTACCATGCTACTGCATTCCTAATGTCATGTAAAAAATGCTACAGGACATGTTTCTACCTCACCAGATTTAATTTATTTGACATTTATGTCACAAAGATACTTGATAAGCACATTCAGGGTGTCAGCTTTGTATAAACATCTCTCATTTTAGTACTTTATGGAAAACTGTGAGTGTTGTAAAAGACCTTAGTCACCAACACTCATTTTTGGAAAACACAGGCATTGAATTATCCTGGTATACAGTTTTTGAGAAAGGGAGGCTATTATGAGTCATGCATTTCGCAAAATAAAGCTATAATCACATTTGGTTACAGTTTTAATTCCACCTGCATATGCTGGCCTGCAGCTCAAACCATGTCTTGAGTTTCATGATCAGAGGTCTTAACATACAACTATTTTGTTAGTGGAGAATTCCATCTTAATGTTTATAATGGAAATTATCTCTACTGTATAAATATGGTGATGTGCAGAGAATTTGGTTTAAAAATCTGCTTTTTAGAAAGTAGAGCAGCAGTACTTTCAGAATTAATCATAATTTTCTGATTTACTGATGAACTTTAACAGACTAGAGAGCAGAAATATGAATTATTAGACTAGTCTGATATGTTGCTAGAAATGTTAAATAATAGTACAATAATATTAATAGTAATAATATAACATAATATATTAAATGATGCTGTCACCATGCTGCATAACACCTCCCACTAAATGTACTTCTGGTAGTGACAGCCCCACCTTTTCATGGCTTAGTAGCTTTGGGTAAACATACATTCAAAATGTGTCCAGACCTTTTCATGAAGTAACAGAACTGGTTTGCCAAGACTTTTCATATCGTTTAGATGGCTTTAACTTCCTTGTCTCTATCAGGGATAGACCAAGAAAGTGACATTTGAATTTTGGAAGCTTTTGGTGAGATTTGGATCAGGGTTTTGTGGATGTTATGAACCATGACATTAGCTGCTTTTTGATCCAGATAAAATAACACTGCTCTCAAATGGTGTCTGAATTTTATGGTCTACAATTGGAAAAAACATTAGCCATGTCCAAACTTCTGTTCGACACAAACTTAAAATAGCTGAGGGAGGTGGATTGCATGAGAAGTTTTGGTCTTGTTCCAGCTTGTCTATGAACCTTGCACAGCATTTGTGAAGTGCTCAGCATCAGTCTGGACATACCAAGTGGAAGAAGGATCTTGTGTGTTCCCTACATTCCTGCTCTGTCCCCTGGATATGGAGAGCAGCCTGTGGCTTGGCACCCTCCTGGGCAGCTCCTGCTTCCTCCCACTTGCAACAGACCAATGCAATGATCGGTAGCTCATCCCCGCATAAAAAGTCCTGAAGCTAGGCTTGGTCATTAAGTAGCAACACCAGATACCTTTTAGGAAGAGTCCTAACCAGGTCACTAATGGTGAGGCACTTTATCTTTGTTTCAGTTTGTTGTTGGGGTTTTCTTCAGTAACCTTGTACAGTTGTATACATTTCAAGTACAGTGAGCTTGTTTGAATTTTTTTCTCTGAACGGTAGCACTACACTCTGTCTCTAAACAGCCACATTCCAAAGTCAGATACATGCCCAGAATCTTTCTCTTGCAAAGAAAGAGCTGGTTCTGTACATTAGCAGAACTAATACTGAAACAAGTCAATGGGCCAGTGTGTGGCTCCTAAATCTGTAATGCTTTGTCTGGCTACTTGCCCTCAATACATGTCACTAAGGAAGGTGTGAAATTTCTCTCTGTTTTCCTAGAAATTTAAGGAAATTGGTGAATAGTTTTGGGTTTGTGGGGCTTTTTTGCCCTTCTCTTTCTCTTCTGATATACAGAGAAATTGAATAATGGTTTTCAAGATCTTCAATAATTGAATGGCCTTTGCAAGTGCTCCCTCCTTTCAGTCACTCCCAGATGCCAATGAAAGCCATGGACTCTGTCAGGACCTAATCCAGGTTTGCAAATTTGTTCTAGAATGATGCTTATTTGGACTCCTCACTTTGTTCTTTGTCTGAACATGTCCTTGTCTTACTCAAGACTGTGCTGTTCTCTGGAGTTACATTACTAACAAGTTCAATGGCATATTCAGATGTTTGTGTCAGAGGGTCAGAGAAGGTAAATCCCCAGGGAATGATGAAGTGTTTCTGTCAAAGGCTTAGGAAACTGAGTGTACAGAAGCTTGTCTGGTTTTTCTCACCGGTATCAGTTAATTTAGGAAGAGCTATTACCTTTGCTTACAAAATTTGCCCTCAAAGATTTTACTAGTAAATTTACAAGTAATTGTGATTCAGAAAAAGCTACCAAACATGGTATAGGTGGGCAGGGATGCAAAGTTGTGTTTGCTATATGTGTGTACCTTGTTTCTTAACAATATACGATAGACTTAGTCTTTCACCAACATTCCAGTGAAAGTTCTTAATATTTTCAGAACATGAGTTGTCACTATTTTTTCCAAGTGGAAGAAGACCCAACAAGCTTGTTAATATAAGCTGAACAAATGACACCAAACAAAAAATCATGTTTCATTTAAAAAAATGCTAGCTTTGGTACTTGTAACAAAGCCAAAGGAGCAGTTTGTTTCATTGTTAAGACTTCCCTCACTATTTAATGCAATACCTGATTTTCTGTGCCTTTGCTTTATCTCACTAACATTTATCTCCTTATTGTCTGCATTTTTCCATTTAGACACCTTCTCCTGTAAGATTTTTTGCCAAACTTCAACTACGCCCTGACTGTATTCCAAAAACCCCCTTCAAGGCCTGTCTTTGCTGCACTGCCTACAAATCACTGTCACCTGGCAGACTTGATGCTGGAGGCCATCTGTGACCATGGTGACTCCTGATTTATGTGAGCACACCCATCTTCATTGTTATTCATGCCACCTTCTTTCATACATTTTTCCCTTAGTCACTCAATTTCTTGTCTTGGGAATATGGAGTGCGAGGACTGGGGTGAGAGCTGCCTAAAATAATGAATATAAGGTGCAAAACACATATAGAGCTTTGCGAAAAATATGTCAGGAGATATTAAAATATTTGAAGTGCATATTTGTCAAAACAAGATTGTATCAAATTAATTGTGGAGGAGAATATGTCTACCAAAATATGTGGGCCAGAATCACTGATCCTGCCAAGGACCTGAAGGGTTTTGGTGACTTAAATATCTCATAAACTTCAGACCTTAACATGCCATCTAACTCAGAGTAACATTGAATCTTTTCTGAATTTTTGTGTCTTTCACACCCTTCAGGATGCACCAAAGCTTTGACATTTGTGGAATAGATCTTCTTTCATACATGGTTAAACTCCCAGCACTAGTAACAGAGACCAGGGCATGGTATGACAGAGAATTTTCTGGTAGATCTATTGCATGTGGGACTCCTCTGCCCGAGAGACTTCTCAAGGGACACTTTAGGAAAGCTTTTTGGCTGCCATGTGTCTCTGGAAAGAGACCAATAGTTTACCCTTTTATAAAACCATATCAAGGCAAGATAGGTAAATCCCTAAGTGGAAAACATATAAAGCTGTGCAAAGAAAACTGTGCAAAATCTGTGCAATCAATCAGAAGAGACATTGTTTGGGAAAACCTGTATCAAGTGATCATGAAATTAATTTAGTGGTAGTTCAAACATTTTAGAGGAACATGATATATTCAACAACAGGGGCCCAATCCTGGCTGTGCTGAAACAATAATAATGCTGAAGCAGTTACAACAGAATTCATATAAGTGAAGGTAATTTCTTCTCCATATCCATGGATGATGTGTAATGTCTACATTTCTCCTATGCTGCCTCTGTACATTTTCACATGCCCTAGCAACAATCTGAGATGAATTTGGAGGAAGCTGGCTTATCTGTGCACAGAGCTATGCTGCAGAATCAGCATAGCCTTTTTGATTTATTTTTCAAAGCTCTTCTGCATGGTTTCTGTCTTGATTTTCTTGTCAACTTGATTTAGTACGAATCTCTGGGGATGCATTGTGCATTATATGAAACTGGTGTTACTGTTGTTGAAGCAGACTCAAGCAAAGAGTTTCTGTTCGTGGGACTGTTTTATGTTAATTAATAATGTCAAACTTCTGAAGAAAAATTTCTTGTAGCAATCTAAAGTTGACTTTGTAGAGCCATCTCTTCACTCTTCCCTGTAGTCTTAATTTTTCTCTATGCCTTGCTTCCCCTGATGAATTGTTTTTGCTTTGAGACTTGGCTGATTAATAGCTCCATGTCAGCTTCATGCTCTAATTTGAGCCTGATTTGCTAGAAAGGTGCTGAGCACATTCATTGAGTCAGTGGGAGGGGCTGGTATTCAGCACTTTTACAAACCAGGACACTTACTTCAATGCCTCAGTATGGCTTCAGGAGCCTGATTTAGGCTCCTATTTTTATTAACCAGAGTAATGGCATCCAAATATATTAACTGGTGTGTTCTTTGAATAACTGCAGCTAGTATTTAAAAAAAAAACAAAACATGAAGTCACTTAACCAATTTTTAATGGGAGTTGTGTGTCCAGTGCCCTGAGCTTTTCTGAGAATCCTGACTTGTCCCTTTTGTTCAGCATAACTCTGGGCCAGAAGGTATTTCTTTCTTCTGTATATCAGCTTTGCTAAATATATATTTGGTTTACTGCTTGCTTGAAACTGCCATGCCAGTGCATCTGGGACATGATGAATGCCCTAAAATGTGAGGACAGTTCAGAATGCATAGATTACTATAACTTTGATTTGAATACATGAGCGTACAGAATGTTTTGGGGCTCTTTAGAGTAACAACGAGTGTCCATGTTCAGCATTTCTCCAAAAGGTCCTGTGAGTCTTTGGTCCTACTGAATTTCTCATTTCATAAATTGACTCAATGAACATGTCAGATCCTGAAACCTAGCAGGCTTTTGCAGGTGGTATTTGAAATGAGCTGCAAAACAAGACAGCCTTTGATAGGTGTATGAATTTGTATAAATGTATGAGGAATTGTTCACATAAATCCCTCTGCTGTCACAGTGATTTATTACATGTGCAAAGCTCATGACATCCAAATGGAACTATAGCTGTGCTGCCTAACAGCTGGACCTAGAGTGAATTAATGCAGTGTCATAATTCAGTAAAGGAGCTCTGCTCATGTCACAGAACCAAGAAGCAGCATATGAATGTTTTATCAGCCTAGCAGTGACCTGAGAATATATTTGCACAAGTATGTAGTATGTACTGCTCTTCTCTTCATTATCCTATGCATTAAGACATTATTTCTGTGGTATCATACTCAGATTTAATTAGAGGAGCCAAAAACATACAGCTAATTGAAAATGTTAATAGAATAAAACCCCTAGAAAACAGCTCTTACTTTGACTATTTCCTTTTATATTCTTCCTTATCGGAATTTATCATTGCACATGATCAGATGATTGACAGTCTCCTTCTCAGCTAAGCATTAGGAAAGCTGCACATGGTGGATGAAATACACTTAAATTTAATGCCTCAGATCCTGGAACTGGCCTCATCCTTCTTATGACAGCCAGTAGCAGAGATGGTGAAGTGGTGTAGGCTGTGATGTATTGAGAACTTTACCTGTAATATATAGTACTTACAGACATTGGAGATTGTTTAGCAGGAAAAAAAAAAAAAGTGAAAACTGAAGTTATGTGAAAGCTTGCTTGCTTGTTTCAGGTTTGTTGAAGTTTTGCTCCTTAAGAAGGCAGCCTGCTTCAGAGAGGTTTATGATTCCATCTCTCTTGAGACTCATCAGTGCACTGCATGAGTGTCTGAATGGTGCCTAGTGCCCCCATGATAGAAAATTGTGGAATCAGGAGGAAATTGCCCAGTGTTTCACACTTGGTCTGCTCAAACATAGATCATAAACTGATCTCCATTGAAGAAGAGGTATTTTGAGAATATTCACTTCTGTTTTGAGGAAGCCCAGAGACAGAGCAGCAACCCTCAGTGGTCCCTAGAGTAGAGTCCTTAGGATTGATTACTGCTTTGCAGTTCCCATGGCTTTTTTCTAGACTTGAGGTGGCTGTGTGGGATGGCAGTGCCATAGGGCTGGGCTGTACTGCACTATTGCAGCATGGCAAGTAAACCCAACAGTTATGAAATTTCACCTTTTCCCCCTCTCATTGCACAGATAAAAATGACATCTGCAAAGACAAGAAAAAGGAGCATGGCAGGAAGAAAAATACCATGGTCAAGAAGACTCCTGATCCCCAGTGTTTGGCCCAGGCTATTGTATTCTTTTGTCCCATATTTTCCTTATAAAGCTTCTGGTATCTTGAGCAAGTTCAGATCCTTCTAGCCTGACCCTGGAGAAAGAGACAATACTCAAGTATCAACACAAAAGTTATCCTGAATCCTATGTATCTTGTCAGCTATGACATTCATATCCCAGTGGATATTTCTGTGTGCAGCTCTGTGGTCTTATGCATATATTTCACATACAATTTGTAGGTATTTACTGATGAAAGGTGCAATCTGCAAAGTAACAACCCAGAACTCTATAGGTTAATATAAGGGATACCATTTTTCTTGCTCTCCCCTTGATTTCTAGCTACTGCTTGATGCTATCTCTAATAGTCCAGTAGCCCTGCTGCCTGTTTCAGAACTGCTAGGGAAGCTGGTGCTTTTATTATGATCTTTCCAGATATTATATTCTTCATTTTTATTGTGTTATAAATCTTGGTTCATAATGTATCTGCCTAATTTGTTTTCTCTTGCTCCTAGGTGTAGGCACAATCTCTTCGTTTGCTCTTACAGTTGGTTATGAATTCATTATCAAACTCAAGGAATGCTTTGTTCTCTTCCATTCTGTGGCCCTTTCAAAGTCTCCCCCACAACTTATTTATTTACTTCTCAGCCCCCATTAATCATTGCCATATGTGCCTCACTTTGCAGAGATACTCTGGGCCACTCATGGCTGTTGAACAAATGTAAAAGACACACATGAGTTGCTGGTCATACTCTACTTAGAGAACAGACCACACACAGCCACAAGCTCCAAAGACTGGGAAGTCAAAGGCACATGTTAATTTAATATGGACCAGCTTTTTACAGCCAGAAAGAGAGAGGGGGGAAACCCTGACTTCTGTTTCTGCGCAGAAACTGATTACATGGTGATTATTTTAAAGGTCAGGTTTCTGTTGATAATACATCCCTAGGAATTTATTTTAATATGCATCCAGTTTGAGGTTAAGCTCATGAGTTTAATTGCAGTTCATGAGACAAAGAGATTTGGTCTATTGTTCATTAAATAAAATATGCTTCATTTAGGTGATAGAAATCTATTTGAACGTTCCAGGACGTGTAGTTGCTTTGAGCTGTTCAGCTGGTTCCAGCATCCAAGTTGCTGATTTCCATGGTTCCTAAAGGTATGTGTCTGGCTGCTGCAGCAAAGATGGAGCAACAGCAACAAGACACAGAGAAGCATGCTGATGTAGCTATAAAGTAAATATTTTTCACACGGCAATAATTTATAATAATTAGGGAGTAGGGCCTACTGTTGATGAATGTCAGTGAGACTAAGAGCTTAGCAAGATTTGAAGTGACACTGGGTCTTTATAGGCTCTACTATAATTGCTCTGCCTAGACACAATAAAGAAAAGTTACTTATGAAAAGTTCTCAAGTTCATGGTGAATCCTGAAGATCACAACAGTTTTAGGATGTCAGTAAAGATACTAAAATCTAAAATTTCTGCTACACCTGTGCATGGTGCAGATGGTGGTTTGCCTAAAATCTGAGTCCTGACATCTCAGTACTATTTATCTTGTTAACACATCCCAGTTACTTTTTATTTTTGTACACTTATATTCCTGTGTAAGGGTTCCTGAAAGGTAAAGCAATGAATTGCAGTGGAATAAGTTTCTGTAAAAATTCTAGAGTTGTGTAGCACATCACCAATGCACTTTTGGCTAAATGATGATGACTGTTCTTTCTGTTTCCTAATAATAGTAACTCAGATTGGTGTGTACTTACTACATATTGTTGTGTTTTAGGTATATGTACAACTTTACAAGCATTTAGAAACGATAGGAGAAAAATAAAGAAGTGGGCTTAAAATTAATAAAAACCCAATACAATCTTCCCTATTTCACCATATGCTTTTCATGTTCCATTAGGGACCCAGGTGAATGCAATCCAGTGTTGTCATACACTTACTTTTAGAGTGATTTCTCTGTGTCTTCACAATCTATTCAGGTTCTGCAGGTGAAGGCAACTCAGATGCCAGTACCACATGCATAAACCCATGAGGGCCTTGTTCAGCATGTAACTCCTGTTCTGTGTTTCCCCAGAGCTGTTCCTGGCTTGGTGCTAGAGGTCTGGAAAACCTTCTGGTTCCCTTCCCTTGCCTGCCTCTCATCTGAGACTTGAGACTTCTGCCAGCATAAAGAGCTTAGCCTACAGGCCTGCTTCTTTGGCTCAAAGGTATGACAAAACTTTTCAGAACGTAATCATTAAGTGTGTTGTTGCTAGCATCAGATTTCAACATGTTAATAAATATTGTTGCTCCATCAAAAATGCTGGCAACAATGGTCGGAGTCCTACCTTGAGGCTGAAGGTTGATTTCAACAGTAGCCATCAGATCACCATTTCTTTTACCAAAGAATTTTGCGTTGCAAATTCTTCTATGAACTTTTGAGGTTTATCTCATAAAACCCAATGTAGCACAATTTGTCATTGACAATTGCTCTTCTTCTAAACCATTACCATCTAGTCTAGTAATTTGTTTCTATGGAAAGGGTATTCAGATTAACATCAGATGTTTTCTGCAAACCATATAGAATTTCTCTGACTCTGCTGCAGTAGTCCTTATTGCACTGTTGTTCTGCCCCAGATTGTATTTGCATGGAATGCAGAGGGATACATGCAATTGCATGGGGTACAGAGGCATAGGATGACTCTTCTGATGTACCCAACTCATGAAGGGATGTGTATTTGAAGTATTAGGAAGCTATTAATAGTCTTGCTATACTAAATGCAGTTAATTTTCCTTAGCCATCAAGCACCTTTCACAGACTCAAGTTGCAATGAAGTAATAGAGAAATGGCCGCTAACATTTAGGCAATTTAAATGCCCACTGGAAGGCAGAGGAATTTCTTTAAATTTGCAGCTTCAAACATCACCAGTGATGATGCTACAAAGTATGGTGATTTTCATATAATGAATTGTGTGGCATGGGAACAAGAATATACATATGTACTTACATACATACATGGGTTTTCAAAGAATGTATCTGACAGGATTACAGATGTACATACCTTGGACTGTGATTTTTTTTCTATCAGAATTGCTAATGAATGTGTCCTTAAATCAATTACAGTGAAGTTCTTGTTGGAAGAAAAACATAGAGTACACTTCTTTATGCATTGTGATAAAATGGCACGTGGCAATGTCCTTAAAATGGTTGCTATAGCCAGTAAAGATGGAAAGGTCTCCATGCAATATCAAATTTATGTATTAAGGTCAAGATGTATGACTGATAGTTTTAAGTCTTGTTGTATTTGCATATATTCCCTTAGTTAATATGCAGGGGAGGAAAATCTGTCCCCAAGCTTCTGGGTAATAATGGCAGTCAGACTGAGTTGGCACAGGAGATTAATCATTGCAGTCCAGTATCTAAATCAGTACCCAGGCTTTGCCCTGTAGGTTCCCACTGTTGTTATCCTCTCATCACTCTGAAGTGCATGTCATAAATGATACTCAGTCTCTTTTCCTTTGTCTACCCCATCAGGGTCAGTCAACCAAGATACCAGCTAAATAAGAAAGGTGCTTATTTCTTAGAAATGGTCTCTAACTAGTATAAGCACAAAGAGAGTACTGTAAATACCCCAGAGGTCACAACCTGTGTTACTGTTTAATGCAATGAGGTTGCACATTTATAATCCTTAGGTGGAAGCTCTTATCTCCCTACTTCAGCTGCATCATGTTACCCATTTTCCATGTTTATTGATTTGTTATAGATATGTTTTCTATTGATAAGCATTCTCAGACAAAGGCTTGTGTACAGATAGGTTTCCTAAAATGTTGTGCAAGCCCAGAGGAAAGCACTAGTTTCACACCTAATAGAAATGCTGCAATGGCAAAATAAAGCTGTGACTGTTTTAGTGGCTTGGAGATAATGAAGGGAGTTTTCAGGGTAATTAATGGGTAGGACAGGACAGATTTCTTTGTGTTAAAAGAGATAATTACATCTTGCAACCAGTGTCCTGTGATGTGAATGTGTGGTGTACAGGACCTCAGATGGGAGTCATAACAGCAGGACTTCTGTCCCAGATTCACAGCTTGGTGTTAGACTGTGACAGTCATTTAATTTTCAGAGTTTCAAAAATAATTGAGCTTTGCTTTCTATCTGAAACTGTGTTGAAAGCTACGGAGGAAACTTGACTCCTTGCTTGGACATTAATGGTATCCTAAATTAAACAGCAGTATTTCTGTATGCCATGTATATATATGAATGTGTCATAGAGACACAACTTGTTGATATTTTGTGTTTTCAACAGAAAGCACTGACATTCCCAGAGTGGAGTGGTTTATTCAGTAGACAAGTGACAGCAAAAGCTGTGTGACTCAGGGTATGTCTTTCAGTAATTCTCTGTAATTTGTATGTTTATTTCAAACAAATGCTACAAATGACTTGTTATTACCTAACATTTCAGAACCTTAGGGATTCTGTATATACAGTTTGCTTCTGCCTCATCAGTTTCAAGCCTCAGACTGAGGCAGATGTAGACTATGTAGCAAAACACAAATGTGAGGACTAAAGGGTTTTGGTTGACTAGTTGTGATAACTTTTAAAACAATACTGTCCTCAGTTTTCCTTTTAATTTTCCTTTATTAAAATTAAACATCCTGCCAAAGCATGCACAGTAGGGTTTGTGCTCTGTCCTAGGACTTTAATACTGGTACCTTGCTTAAGCTGCTTGGTAGACTGGTTGGTGGGAAGCAAGTCCATGTCTAAAGTTTGTGCACAGCACTGAATTTACCACAGTGGGACAGTGGTAACTCAGAAGACTAGAAAATAATGATTTTCAGAGTGTGGATTACATTGATTGTTTGAAAGAGACAGGGGATGAATCAACAAGGCATTACGCTTGAATTTGCCAGGAAGGATTTTGAGGTCTAGAACACAACTGGGCACTGAAAGCAGGTTAACCATGACAGGCTGGGACTCAGCAGGAGCTAATATTTTCTCAGTTGCAAGTGGATTGGTCAAAGGACAAATACCTTGGAGCTACTTCTTTACTCTGTCTCTGGTTTTGTGTAAAATGCCCACCCAGCAGGATAAGAGACTGCACTGGCGGGAAATGGAAGTTTTAAGAGTTTGTGCACAGAGAAGAGCTCTGCAGCTTTAAACAGGTCACCTAGGATGTTTTCAGTTGGGTTATTGAGTGAAGCCTTCCAGATTATTTTAGCTTAAATTTTAAGGCTAAGAAAGGGATTATATATCATATTACTTAATTCTTTGACAAAAAGAGATTGGGGAAAAAAATCTGCCTGTGCAATGGCCAAACTGGGAATAATAGTTTAGTAATAGTTTCAAAATGCCTCCAGAGCCTTTAATGGAGATGAAGATTATGATGATGACTATTATTATCTCAAAATCTGGGTTTTAAGTTTTCCACTATTTACTATGATTTCTCATGCAAGAGAGGTCAGAACTTTAGATCTAACATTCTCTACAAACTTAAATCTTCTTGATGCAGGAGAGATGAAGGAATCTAATTTTTTTTTAAATCAGTCTTTAATTCTGGTTTTGTTTATGTTTGTTTCTGTTTAATGTTGCTGTGCACAGATCCTTCATATTGCAAAAGTTTTGGGCTTGCTGTGGTTAGATAAAGATTCCCTTGCAGCTGACAGAAATAAAGACAGAAAGCAAATTAAATCCCATCAGAGAATAAGTGCTTTGCTCCTCTCCCAAACTGCTTTCAAGGCTTCAGTCTTACAAGTGAGCATACTGAGAAATAAACTTAACTGCCAGTGGTGCTGGGTAAGAATCCACAGGTCAGAGACTTCATGATGGGCCTTTGTCCAAAGTATTACAAGCTTAGGTTCTTTTGCTTGATGTTCCTATGTCCCCTAAGCGTCTTGTTCCCTATTTCCAAATAATTTTATATTTAGCACATCTCCAGATTGTCTTTTATCTTTTGGATAAAACCAGGCAGAAAGTAATGTAAAGAAGAAATGTCAGAACTTTTCTAGACCTGCTCAGTTCAATTTAGTTTATAAATTAAAAATTAGGCTAAGGAAGATGTATTGTTATTTCATCCCAAGCATTCAGCTCTAAGTAGTTCTACATTAAGGAAAAAACCCTATAATTACCTGTGCTTTTGCTCTTCCATTTGTCTATGTAAACTGTTAAATCTATTTCTAATCCTACACTGTTTCAGCAATTTCACTTTTAATACCTGTTCCAAACAACACAGTGCACCTTCTCCTGAGGGTTTGTAATTTTTTAAAACTCTCCTTTTCCGTGGTGGATGGGGCAAGAATGGGCAGAAGCGGCCACTCAATTCTTTCATGAATGGAAGGGAAGAAAATGTCCTGAGAGAGAAGCTATTTCTGCTCTTTTAAGGTAGAAATAATAGCAAATCTAAAAAAAGTGGGATTACAGAAGTGGCATCCATTCTGAGGAGTATATGGTTACAGTCATGGACATTGTGCACTCCTAGTGATTGCTCAGCATTTTCCTCACTATTTACTTTTGAGACCTGGCACACTTTATGCATCTCACTGGGTTATGTTTCCCTTTCCAGCTAGTTAAAGGTATTTTTCTACCTGTAGAGATAGAAGGGAAAAGTTTCTGTACTGCTGAAGCTTCTTGTGCCCTATTTCAGATCTGATCCCTTTTTAGGAGAGGATGTCCCTTAGATTAGAGATGAGAACTTATCAGTGAAAGTAAACATACGTTCAAAGTTGTTCAAACCAAAACCTGAAATGTGCTTGGTCTCTGTCCATAACCTTTTAATGTTGTTGTTGTTTACTCATAAACTTTTTAGTCTGATGTCAGTACTAGTAATCACAACAAAAAGTTGAAGTAGCATTATAATGCTTTTTATTATTTTTTTATATTAATGCTATTTATGGAAAGTATTTCAGGTTCATCAATTATTTTTGTAGAGAATCTTATTCTAAGCATTATCTACACCTTACTAGGGAACACAATGTTCCATGTTGAAATGAGGAGCTGTGTTTAACTAGCAAAGATGGCTGTATGTTTTCTGTGTGAATGTGTGGATATGTGCACGTATGTAGGAACAGATGTGAATTAACCTGCATAGCCTGCCAAAGAATTGGTTATTGAAACCATTTAATGATTAATTAGGCAAGCAGAAACATATGCCCACACACCCTGTCACAACTGCACAGCAAGGCATTCCCTTTGAGGAAGCATGCATTTCTTGCACATATGGTCTGTAGTAGACCTAGACAAATCAAAACCTCCTTGGCTTTCTGTGTTAGGGACAGAGAGCATGTATGTGGGCACTGGTATGTGTGGCAGCTGCTGCTTGAATTGAAAGGGCTGGAAATACAGGCAATGCAAGAGAGTGGACAAGTTCTTTGTACAAGGCTGCATGCAGTAGTGGCAGAGCTGGAAACAGAGATGGGTCTCTGAATGATTTCATCTAAACATCCTCCTCTATACTACCCTGCCTACCAGACAGAGAGAAGAAAGACTGTGGTGAAAGGCAGAGAAAGAAAAGTCAAACTTTATCTCTGCTCAGAAAAAAACTGTCTTTATTTGCAGAATTTGCTTGTTCTGTTATATTGTTCCCAGCAAGAGAAGTGTTAAAGCAGCATTCAGAGTCCTCATTCCTCCTGGGATTTGGAACATAACAGCAGATGCCAAGGTTACCTTTGTCCTGTCTTCCAGTGAGGCTCTAGTGCAGGCACAAACAGAATGCTGCTCTTCTTCCCTTTCTACTATCAATACCAACAATAATCATGATTTCTTACAATGATTCCATTTAAATTTTAAAGAATGAAAGGAGGGAGACTGTCAGGTTTGTCTTTTGAGGACAAATGAAGACTGGTCACTAAGTTTTCTTTTATTCTAAAGGATTTTCAGAAGCCAGTGCTGTCGTGACCCCTCTCATACCAGGTGGGAGTTGGCAGCATTTACTGCAACCAAGGTTGAAAACCATGACACAAAATCCCTGAGCTGTTCAAGATCACCTCATAGCTGAACCTTTCCACACTGTAGTTTCTCTGCTTCCCTTGTTTGTCTGTGCCAAGTTGGTGTAAATCACCATAATCCTGGTTTAATAATTTGTAATAATTCTGATGCAAAAAAGGGCAGTGCTGCCTAGTGGATAGGTGATGAAATTAGGACTAAGAAAATAAGAGATCTCTAATATGACTGATTTGTGGGGTGATTACAGTCAGATTGCCATTTTCTGCCTCAGTTTTCTCCTTCTGTAAATTGGAGGCAATTTGTTCACTTTGTGTTTGCCCAGCGTGGATATGAATGGTGGTCTGTGATGTAAATAAGGTGGATTCTGGTTTTTCATTTTTAATCTCTATTTTTAACCCTCATCCTTGACAGCTTTGTACTTTGTGCCATCATTTTCACTCTGCATTTTTCATACAAGACTAAATGGGAGAGGACTCTCTCCTTGATGGTAGCTCACCTGCAGTAGCCAAGATACAATGTTGACTGAGAAAGCGGGGAGGTGAAGTTCCAGACTGCTCATTTTGGCAGATGACAGCAGAAACAAATGTGTCTCACTTTTGCCCTACTATTTACTCAAGCAGAAAACAAAACAATAGAGATGGGAAAAGATCTGAAAGAGCTGTCACAGAACAAGTGCACCATGCCAATAATTTGAAGGATTAAGGACCCCAAGCTGTATGTCCTGACACAATAGCTAGGGCCATCCTGTTCACTGGGTTCATGGATTAGAGGGATGTTTCATATGATTCTGGTTTTCTTTTCAACTCTGGTTGAACAAACATAGCCTGTGTGCTTGCAAATCCCTTGTTAGCAATGCAAAAGGTCAATACAATTTCCCTTTCACTACACTCTATGATTTTGCCTTTGGAAAATGTTGCAGTTGGTCTGTCTGGATGCCTTCACAGAATCAGCATGACTTTGTGTCTGGTTTAAATGGTGGGAAGCCCAGAGAAGGGGCCCGGAGTCAGTATTTGGAGACACTGGGGCACTGACCTGAGACACACTTGATTTTCTTGTTTAAGCTGCTGTCTTATGAAGTAGGGTAGTTCAAATGGGAAGTGCATTTTGTTCAGGCTATGGCTATGGAAACGGCAGGATTTGGGATCAGTGATGTCACAGATTTTATTTTAAAGACTTCTCTGTTTTACAAATAAAAAGGTGATGTTGCTTTAGTGCTGTGAAAAGAAAGTTTATCTTGGCTTGAGTCAAGCAGGGATTTTTCCTCTTTTCACATCACTGCCAACAGGCTGTTAAGAAGCTGTCCCATCCTGTTCCTGTGTCACCTCAGGTAGGGGATTGCCATTCTGGCACTAAATATGTGTCTCCTTTAACATAATTTAGAGGCACAATTTAGGAATTTCATGGTCAATGAGATAAATTCTTGTCATCAGCAAAGATGATCACAGAAGTCCCACAAACTTCAGTAAGTGAGGAGTATTTGTACCTGCATACTTATTACCTATTAACATTTTTCATTAAGAATCTAAAAAAGTTTGTGGAGTACAGAAAAATTTCATGAGAGGTATCACAGCTCCTGGGTTGGCATGTGGACTCAAATATTCCCTGTCTAATGAAGGGTCACTTCTCTTTCAACCTCACAGCTCAAAATTTCCATGGGAAGGGATGGGGGTGGAGAGCAAATGTGCAGTGTAGCCAAAGTCTCAGTACTAAGAAGGATTCAGATATGTGCTTGAGTGCTTTTTGTCTGTGTTGCCCCATAATCCATTTATCTCTGTTTTTTCATACCAGTTTTTAGCCATTAAATTTATCTTGTTTCAGTGAGGATACTTAGATTAGCATTAAAATTCCAATGCACCTGGGTCATGTCAGAGTTATAAGTGTGATACAGTCTTGGTATGTGCACAGAGGACAAGGCCCTTAGAGGGAGAGATGCCTGTCAATTGATAATACTGTGAAGGCTGTTAGTTGCTCTTATGGGCCTCTACCTGAAGTGTCAGCACTGCTAGTTTTCCTCCTGGTACTTGTTCCTGAGAGACAATGTTCAAGAAAAAAATGGGATTCAGTCCTTGCTCTGGGGCAGTTTGCCTAGGACGCAGTAGCAGTGTGGGATATTCATTCAACCTGAGATGTCTCTGCATTGGATTCAAAGTATGAATTTTGTGATGAAAGATTTGCTCCCTCTGGTAACATGGCTCTTTGCAAGAAGGGCTGAGTTCACTTCCTGGTGAAGCCATTGGCCCTACTACACACTTTAGGCTCTTGTGTTCACGTGTCATCTTAGACTGACTGCTGTTATTAGTTTGGCTGCTAGTAAGATAACAGTCCATTACATGCTTTTTTTAATACAGCCTGGACACAAGCAGGAAGGCAGACTTCCTGCTTTTGAGAGGAGCAGGAAGATGGGGCATTTCAGGAGACAAATGTTTGGTATTTACAAAATGCATAGCAGATGGGCAGCTGTCAAGTCACCTGCTGACAGCAGAGAGGTACAAAGCCCTCTCCTGTTTCAGAGGAAACACTTGTTTCTCACAGATAGCCCAAGTAAGGTTTAATGGGTTTTTATCTGCCTCAGCTACATGGGGCAGACTTGCAGTTTGAGCATATTTTGAAAAATAACTGCTCTTATTTAGGTGAATTTTCAGAAATGCCCAAAAGGTTTTGAAAACTGAGCGATGTATGTAAGTGTGCTTTCGCTTAAAATCATCGTTTCTCCATGGTTTGACTTGCAATTGCCTGCTGGTCTGGGTGGGACTAGTGTGGTGGCCATGCCAGGGCTGAGGTTTTGACAGACCTGACTCCTCTGTTGCCAGCAGAAAAGACCTACATTTCTGCATTCCTTGTGATCTTGTCAACACATCTTTACTGTTTCAGTGTCCATAAGCAACTGTATAATCTAAGGATAGTGGGAGTGGTATTTCAAAAGTGCAGATAAAAAATACAGTCCAGAACTTCTTGTATTGAGAAGCACTAATGCATTAGAGAGGCAAAACCAGGTTTACTTTGTGCTGCTGGTAGATCTCTCTGAAGAATGAACCTATCCTGCTAAGCAGTTTTCTGCCTTCCCCACATAAAAACCTGGAACAGAATAGCTCTTCTAGACTGGTGGCTTGACATTCCTGGGTTCAGAGATGAACCAGTGAGTCCCCAGTCTAATAAAAGGTACTTGAACTGGCTTTTAGAAGCATTGTTTCAGGAGCAGAGACAGGCAAACAATGCTTGCAGACCCTAAACAGATCAGGAGAGAACAAGGTTACAATGTTTAACTGTCTGTCTACCTACATTGCTCCTGGCTTCTGCCTCTGTTGCATGGAGATGTACATATAGACTTGCATACATTTGGCATTTCAGTAAACTTCTAAATTAAAAAAGAGCATTTCAGCTATTAGGTCAGTCCCAGGCCTTGTTTACAATTATTCTCACAGATGGCTATTCTTATGATGGGATGTTTTTTGGGGTGGGAATACCAATGAATAAAATGCCTGTTTTTTTTTTTTTTTTTTTCTTGATGCTATTAAGCCTGGCTATCATGAGGTTTTGTGCCTACATGGGTTCAATGGCTTGGCAGGATGCCACAAATTTTATCACCCTTCTCTCTATCGGATGAAAGAGAAACAGACATCTATTTTCACTAGCTGGATCACTATCTGGGTTTCAGATTTGAGATTTCCTGGCTGTTCATTCTGCTCTGAGATGATGGTGACGTTCCTCTCTCCTGGGGATTTCAAGAAACAGAGGGCTGCTCAGGATCATCACTGCAAACTTCCTGTCCCCATCTGGAAGGCAGCTAGCCTGCCTTTTGTATTTATTCATCTCTCTGAAATGAAGGAGATTACTCCAGCTGCCCTTGAGAGGTTAGTGTGCTTTTAGAGGGAACAAAGTTTGGGGTTTAACTTCCTTTGTGTCTTCTGGCCATTGAAAACAAAACGTGTTTGATTCTTTTCTCAAACAAATTTACAGATTGAGATCTAATTAATTTATTTTGGCAATTGATTTGAATTATTTGGTGATGTTTTGATTCATGCATAGTATTCAAGAAAAGACAAACCACATTCTTATGGCTGTCAGTATATTAAAATCAACAGGAACTTTGAAGGTGAAAAAGAAAGAAAAACACAATGATAACTTTGAAGGTGAAAAAGAAAGAAAAACACAATGATAACATCTGAATATTAAAAAGGTCCACATGATGTGCCATGTTAGCCTGAGAAGGATGAAATTCCCTGCGTGTCCACGGTGTTTCTTCCTTACACAGAGGCAGCACAGTCAGGCCATCTGTGCATCGATACCTTCACGTGTTTTGTCTGTATGCTCTTGAGTCTGGACTGCCTTTCCTCCACTTTTGTGAAGTACCCAAGCTGATCTGGGAGTTGTGCACTAAGCATTCATGAAACCAAAATAGTAATACTAATAGTAATATTAATCCAGTGGAAAGCAGTGTGAATGAGACAGGGATTTCCCCTCTCCTCTACTTGATCTTTTTTCCCAGATGGAGCATTTAGTGATTTACCACAGACCTCTTCCCCCTTCCTTCGTCTCTTCCTGCCCATTCTTCAGTGACTTACACGCGATCGAGACACCGATGGCTGCAGTGAGCGCCCCTTGCCCAGCCGTGTGCCCACCCGCACCGGGGCACGGCTTTCCCCGCGCTCACTCCTCGGCCAGTTCCACCCCCAGGGCCAGCAGCGCCCCACACGCGCAACAGGTCGGGCAGGGCCCTCGGCGCCCCCGTTCCCGGGCTGCTCCCGCCTTCCTCCGCTCCGGCCTGGGCTGGCTTTCCCGGCTGGGAAGCGCAGGCCCTCTTTGCTCCTGTTCCCGGCAGGGGCTCACTCCGTGCCGGCGCCGAGCGGGTGGTTCCCGCGCCGCTGCCGCCGGGCGGGGGGCGGTGCCCAGCGCGGCCGCCGCCTGCCGGGGAGCCGCCGCTCGGCTCGGCTGCGGCGTCCCGTCCGGGCGGGCTCGGAGGCTGCCGTGCCGCTCCGAGGTAAGCTCCTCTGCGCGGGCTACTTGGCGGGTCGGCCGGGGCTTTCGTAGCTATGGCAGCTGGTCATTGCCCTCCGTCTGCAATGGAAATCGCCTTGGCTCCATTTTATTCTTGAGATTATTTATACCCATAAGGACTAGTCGTTCTTTAAAGGGCCGTCATGCTGTGGGATATTAGCGCCTCTGTTTTTCCTAGTATCCAGAGATGGTGTCGATAGTACGCCACAATTTTTTTCGAGCCTTTATTCAAGCCTTATTATTTGCAGGTAGAATAGATTGCAGATGCAGAGAAGTAGGTTTGGGAGCGAGCTTCTCGTGCTTGTAAATAGAAGTGCTGTATTTCTGTTAGGGGGAAGGGGGAGCAGATTACAACATTGCTTTTAAAATGAGAGGGAATGCGCACGGGCATTTTTTTGTATACCTTCGGACTCAGCAAACTGAGTGAATCTGGGGCGGGCAGTGTGTGTCTACTCGTCCCGAGAGGGCTAAAGCCAGGATGTATGCATTACGGTTGTTCATTCATCAGCGGCTGCAGATAATGCAATTACCAAGTCAGCGGCGCATGGATGCTGCCCTGCGTGCGACATGCTGAGAATACTGTACTTTAGGAAGCCAACACTTGCTGTAGTTTGGATAAAAACAGAAGCTAGGAATGGCAGGGTATGAAACTGTTGTGTCTTTGAGTGGAAAAGAGGCTACTGGTTGGTCTCACTCTATTGTTTCTGAAGATTTGTATTTTGTGTGCTTCTCTGCAGAGGTGTAAATACCTTTTGCAAACAGTTCATAAGGAATTCGGGAGTGAAAAATAATTGGCAACAGCTTCAGGTATCACCAGTGCCTCATGAATGGTAGGTAGTTTAAATGTCTGAGAATATGCAGTAGTTTTCTGTCAAATCCTATCAGAGAAAGGGCTTCATTTAGCTCTCAGTTTTTTATTTACAGATCAGATTCTGCAGCTGGGGTATGGCTACCTCACTCCTGAGGTGTATTGGAAGGGAAGGAGAAAAAAATCACCAGCATGATTGCCATGGACACAACAATTCCTTATTTATTTATTAGGCTATTAGGGTAATGAAGAAAAGCCATGCCTGCCCTGCTGTGCAGATCTCATTTCAGCAAAACTGCCTGGGCTCCTGCTGTTACCCTTGTTTGATTTTTAACCAGTAAGTGGCCTACACTCGTGTCAGTGTTGTGGTTGTCTCTCCTTTATGTATGGGTTCAATAAAGAAGCTCCCAAATCAAGGGCACCTGAGTAGAATCCAGATGGTTGATAGTGGGATTTGTTCTAAGTAGAATCTTTTCTTCACTCTTCTGCCCAAAGATCAGTGTTTCCTTAGTTGTAGTTGTTGCTTTTATATTCTGCATGGTATTGCTATTACTGCTGCTGCTTTGGGTAAGTATTTGGTATATTAGTATTTCATTTTATTGATTATGCCACTTGAAGATGGTTCTCTCTTGTATGTCTTGATACCTTGTCATAAAAAGACATCTGTCCCAAATGCTTCTCTCTCTAAGACATCAGACAAGGCAAGGGCTGGTTTAACTTGCACAAGGTTTGTGACTGACTGGTACCTCTTGGCTTCTAACGGCTGGACAACATTGGTTCTGCTGCATGGGTAGGCATACCAAAAACGTGTATGTATCACATTTGAATGTCCCTAATGAATCCCATTCCTTTTTCTTTTGCACTCCCCTTTTCTTCTGTAGGCATACTTATTATCTTTAAATACAAATAGTTATTTTTAAAGATAATCCTGTTCTGTAAAGCCAATATAGATTCATAATGATGTATATAAGGTAGTGATATAAGTAGTGATAGAGGTAAAACACAGCAGGTGTGCCTTTTTTGGAATACATCAGATATTTTGTAAACAGACAGAGAAACACACATACACACAAGCTCACACCTAAGATGTTTAGAAGAAGAAAGAAACAGTGCCTAGTAAATGTCACATGCCCAGGAGGCTAATCTAAAAGTCAGGAAGCTAAGAATTATGTGCTCCGTGTGAGTATTATGAGCAGCTTCCTTTTTCTTTGATACATAAGTGATTCAAAGGGTACAAATGTAAGGGTTCCTCCAAAGGAAGGTCATGTGATAAACAGGTCTCTTCTTGTGTTTTCTGTTTGCAGGGGAGGGAAAATATTTGGAGTAGGGGGAAAGGAGAACTCAGAGAAAGTTTAAAGCATTCTGCAAATGTTGAATTACAAGTTTACTGCTTTTGGAAAGGTTGAATCTGGGGGAAAACCAGGAATGTTAAACCTTTGTCAGAATTACACGTTGTGTTTTGATGAGTGCGCTGTGTATGTGGGTGCAGTGTGTGTGCACACACAGGTCACTATTGAGACATGGCAGCAGATGTTCACAGAATTTACACATACTGTTGTGTTACTGTATACAACGTGCTAATTAATTGATGAACCTACTACAGACTGCTTTGTCGCAATGGTGTTCTGCAGTAGAGAGCTACACTGGTTCATTCTCTGTTCCTCCATGTTTCTTTGGTGTTATTTTTCAGTTTTTTGTATCTTGACTTTGGTAAATGCCCCTTTGGTCTTATGACAGCACAGTGCAGATGGGGAGACCACAACAGTGCCCTTGCTGGTTCTGTTTGCTTTAAGTAAAAACTATAATATATATATCTTAAGATGGATGAACAATTGCAATGTTTTCTCTCTCTGCTGAGTCCTTTGCAAGTAGCCCCAGAGGTTCTGTTGGTCTAATTCTGAAGTCTTCAATCTCTTCCATAATCCCATTATCTGCTGTGGTGCTATATATGTGAATGAGCATTAAGGAATTAGGTTGTACAGTGTGTGTTGTTTGTGGTGCAGGTGCAAGTTAAGACAGGGTCAGCACTTTCATTGATTAGTGTAATTTATATTAGAGTAGAGACTACCTATAGGATTAATGAAACTGCTGTGCCTTTAAGAACAGACAAGTTTTCAGCTGAGAAGCTTGCCTTTTTTTTTTTTTTTTTGTGTGTGTGTGAGATATTTGATTTGGATTTATTCAGTATTGGGAAATGCGCTGGCAGCATGGATAAAGTTCACTGTTCTTTGAAAATTGTTTTTACTTCAGACCTTTGAAGTTCTCAGTCATGGGTAGGTTGTTTCAGTCTTTACTCTTATTGTGTAAAAGACTATGCTAGGGCTTTTGCTTGCTGCTTAGGATCTCTGAAGTAGGAATATAAAAGCCTGGGTTTTCAACAATGTTGGATACCCAGATGCTTTCCTTCACTTTTTCCTTTTCCTTGGGTGACAGATGCTTAGTCTGTATATCTAAATAAGGTTTTATGAACCTGACCTTAGGCTTTAGTATGATTTCAGCCTCCTTTGCAGACTGTATTGTGACCCTTCTGCTTGTTACAGTATGAGCAGGTTTTGGGTTCAGTATTTGGATCAGTTATAGGACAGGCTTTGGGAAGTGATGCTGTCAGGTCTTCACACTCAGCCAAGAGAATGCTTACCCAAGCACGACAGTAAAGGCAAGTGTGCTACTGTAGGTGTCTTTCAAAGAAGGTGTCATACTGATGCCATACATGCTTGGGTTCCCAGCACTTCTGAATTCTTTTTGCATGAAAATTGATCCATGCCAAACTGCTTGGGCAGTGGTGGTCAGACACTTTGTGATAACTCTGCCAACTAGATACGGTCATGCCTCACTCTCATTAGGGTTGCTAAAACAGGCACTACGTGCTATCACAGACAGAAATACTATTTAAATACTGGGAGAAATAGCACTTCTGTATATCCTTTTTCATGGCTTCACTAAGATATAATGAAGCATGATTAAGTAATTTTGGATTCTTGCATCATGGATGCAGTTCTTTGGAATGTGTTTAGGAAAACAAATACTATTAGA